TTATTATTATCATCATTGTGGTTGCACCTGAATTTATAATCCAATTAGGTTGTTGAGTAAGTTCCCATCATCATGTTGTCTGTAGTTCACCTAAAATTTGATCTAAAACTTGACCAGTAAATTTATTCATTTTTTCAGGCGAAAATAGACCAGTTCTGGATTGGCCTACCAGAATCAAGGTTGCTGCTGGTGCAGCTCGAGGAATAGCTTACCTGCATGAAGACTGTAAGTTTCTTCTTTTTTTCAGTATTCCCATGTATACAGTTATCATCCGTTGAAGACAAGGTGTTTCCATGGTACTACATGCTCCTTAGATGCTTGGAGTATTTATTTTAAAATAAGGACATTGAGTTCTTTAGAAATTTTGCAACCACTTAAGATGCTAGCATCAGACATGGTTGCATTATTGTTGATTGCACATTCATAATTACTTATGTGCTTTCCCCTTTATCTTTCTGATTTTCGTAGCATAATAAATTGTTTAACCTCCTTAATTCAATTTAATTAATTTATCAGGTCATCCACGCATTATTCATCGAGATATTAAGTCATCAAACATCCTTCTTGATCTCAACTATGAAGCTCGAGTAAGCTTTTTTAACCTGTACATCTGATGGGAGAGTACATTTTGAAATTTTTTGATGAACTCATTTAAGTAAATTGATTCACACTTAAATGTCAGCTTGTGCTGCATCAGCATCTCAGACTATTTTCTTTATTGTGACATTTTGATCATCAGGTTTCGGACTTTGGGCTTGCAAAACTGGCATTAGATTCAAATACACATGTGACAACACGAGTAATGGGAACCTTTGGGTAGGTTATATTGTTGCTCAAGTCACATAATTTAGTGTTTATTATTGGAATCCTTTCTTATTATTAGCCATTACATTTTACTATGTAGTTTGACTATCTGCATTTCTTATCTGACGAAATTTAAATTCCAATGGAAACGTTTTCATAGTATTTTTTTTTCTCTCTCGGACTGTATTTTGTGTGGATATTATTTATTGATCTTTGATCTATTATACCTTTGTTTTAAGGCTGTTTATGGCATATAAATCTTTTAGAGTGTTTTGGATATTGGTGAAGTATGAAGTGTTCCTATTGTGAGTTTACATACCTGAGAGGAATAATGGTCTGAATTGACAGGTACATGGCACCAGAATATGCAACAAGTGGGAAACTAACGGAAAAGTCTGATGTATATTCCTACGGTGTTGTGCTTTTGGAGTTAATTACGGGTAGGAAGCCTGTAGATGCATCTCAACCAATCGGTGATGAGAGTCTGGTTGAATGGGTGAGTTACATTATTCTTTTGATTATTATTATGCATAGCTTTTTTAAAATTTCTGGTTCCATCGTTTGAAATTTCTGAAAACCAGAAGTAAAACGAAACCATAGTAAAAATTTTACAATTATCAATGAAAACATAAACCTGAAAATGTGAACAGAGCAAACCAAGCAAGCTCAATTTTTCCTTGTTTTCTTTGTGCAGTGATGAATTATTAGAGGAACTTGTGATTACCTTATTTTAAATCACATGCATTTTGTAAAGATTATAAAAGAAAACAGGACAAGGGAATGGATTACCTATAAACTGTTCATTTTAATAATTAAGAAACTTGTTTCTAGGCTCGGCCTTTGTTGAGTGAAGCACTTGAGAAGGAGGACTTTGAAATCTTGGTGGATCCAAGACTGGGAAAGAACTACGACAGAAATGAAATGTTCAGGATGATCGAGGGTGCTGCAGCCTGCGTACGCCACTCGTCGGTGAAGAGGCCACGGATGAGTCAGGTAAGTTTATCGTGTGTATAGAGCATGCAATGCAGGTGAGCATGAAGATGTATATTTGTTGTGATTTTGAAGATGCTAAATGTGCATTGGTGGTTGGCAGGTGGTGAGAGCTTTAGATTCCTTAGACGAGTTTACGGATCTGAATAATGGAATGAAACCGGGGCAGAGTTCGGTGTTTGATTCTGCACAGCAATCTGCACAGATCAGAATGTTTAGAAGGATGGCTTTTGGGAGCCAAGATAGTTCAAGTTTCTTCAATGAGTCTCAGAGTAGCTGGAGGAGTAGAGATCAGCACTCAGCAACCATGATTTCCCAAAACAAAACTGGGTCTTGGAATGTTTGAGTCTCATAACTCATTCACTCTTAAGGGATTGCACAAATTTTGATTCATGCACACGACACAACACAGTTTGCTGGTGGGACATGTCCAATGGTGTAAATCTTGTTTTTACTATTTTTGTTCTCATTTTCCTAATATCATGTTGCCTTCTAAGGCCCTTTCCATTCTTTGTAAATTAGGTTATTTGTTGCGTAAAGCAATGTATTTATTTATGTAAAATACTATGTATGAGTTCTAACACTTCCGAATCTAACACAAAATCACAATGTACGCAGCTCTTTTTTAGAAATGAGCATTCGAATATGTGACTACTCAATAAATTTGAGCATGAACATCTGGATACGTGACTACTCGGTAAATTCAAACATGAGTGTCTAAATATGTGACTACTCAATAAATTCGAGCATAAAAGTCTGAATATGTGATGACTCGCTAAATTCGAGCATGAGCATCCAAATATGTGACTACTTGGTAAATAAAAACATGAGCGTCTAGATATATGACTAGTTGGTATAACCGAGCATCCAAATATGTGACTAATTAGTAAATTCAAACATGAATGTCTAAAAATGTTATTAACACAAGAATAATTTAAGCGTCCAAAAACATGACTACCTTGGTAAATATGAAAATTCAAAATAAAATATAAGGTATGGCAAACCGTGTGCCAAAGGATGGGCCGATCTAATGTCCAGAAAATATTATAAATGCGGATAATTCAGCATGAGCTAAAAATAACATCCAAACTCGTTCGTTTAATAATTTGATTCATATGTAATAGTTATTAACTTTTGAGTTTAGGGAACTTACAAACCTACCCGACCTATATTTAGAATATTAATATTATTTGCTATATGTAACATCAGTTGTAGTGCATCTTTAAAGTGGCATTCCATGTCCTCGATATTTGTTTGTCACCGAGATCTTCAAGCTTGTATGATCTTTTCTAAAGTGCATCATTTGTGAAGTAAGGGTCATCAAGTTAGGTGACAACTTTCCTTCAAGTTTGTCTCCTTGTTTCTTTGAGATTTCGCCAAGTCGTCTTTGTGAAAAGCTTACTCCTTTACTTGCTTTTTTTATCACCATACAACTTGTTTCATTATTTCTTCTCGTATTTGCAGATCAAGTTAACAATTCTCCTCGTTGTGCTCCTCGTTAGAGTGTTGCCTTCTCTATGACATCTTATCGAGCTTTAGTAGTGGGTGATTCCCTTTTCGGTGAGGAGGTGTGAGGATGCAATAATGTAACAATCTTTGGGCTTTTGACGATGGATGACATAAGTTGTTATTGGGACCACCAAAATTGCTAATTGCGTGGTGCATAAAAGTTTTCTAGAAATAAATATTGTGGAAAGTAGACTAAGTATTCTCTCAAGAAAGAGAGGTGAGTCACAAAAGTTTCCTAACTAGAGTTTTGCTTAGACAATTTTTACAACTTTTCCAATAGAAATCTTCAAAAACATTTGACATTCTTAACCATGACATATATCACTTGTACTTTATCCTTTTTCACATGAGTTTCTTCACGTACCTTGTATATAAGGTTGATCATTTATTGGTCTATCAATGTTCTCATGGATTAAGTATTTGTGGTCGTCGTAGTTGAGACCAATTTGTTAGTTGTCATCATTGTAAACTTCATCAAAGTTTTGTCTTTTGCATAAGGATTCTCCGAACTAAATAGGGATCATGAAGTTTGCTCCTTATGTTAATTAGAAAGGTGTTTCTTTAATCGATGATTGGAGATTGCAATTGGAATCTCATTAATCTAGGGGCCTTTGACTTGGCCAAGTGTTTTCTTCAACTTGTCTTATATAACTTTGTTCACTAATTTAATTTAACTCTTAATCTATGGATATTTTATCAAAGTCTAGAAATTATTTGAAAGCTTTGTGTCAAAGATAACTAGAGAGTGAGATAAACTATGTTTACATATAAGATTCTTTGAGAAAATTTTCACACTTATTGTGCAATTATAGTTTATAAAGATTTTGCCTAAAAATTTCACGTTAACTTTAGTGAATGGTCATGATCGAATTATATTTATTCTAGTGAAAAAGCAAATAATAAATATTTTATATAATTCTTCTATAGAATAACACAACACTTCTAAAAATTAATATATCATATAGATCTTAAATTTAGATAAATTATTTATTAAGTCTTTTTAAAGACACTGCAAATAATAATAATATCATAAATATAGGAAGAGTAAGTACTTCTATAAAAGAAGACTTATGAGCCATGCTACTGGGTCAACGAATTATTGTTTTGTCATCACGCGGCTACTTCATGACTTACAAGCGCGTATAAGGAAATTTCGACGAAACTGTCTCTTCCCGAACGGCGTCCAACCCTTGAACAGCCTATAGAATAATACCACAGACTCAATTCTATATACCCAACGTCAGACAGATGCATCTTTCATTTTTGCTCTCTGTTTTTCAAATCACTCCTAAATTTTGAAACAGAATCAGTAATCAGCCAGCTGGAAGAAGGGCTTTATTCGGTAATTCCTTTTTCTCTATCTGATTTTTCAATGAAAATTATTGCTTCACGGTCCTTTATTGAACTAGTTTTGTTTTTCCTTATTTATCTAATTTAGCATTTCATGATAATTGGATTCTCACTTAGTTGTAAATCAAAGTTAACGGGTGCTTAAATGATTACTTAAACCCTTCTAACCAGCTTGAATGAAATTTAAACTAATTTAACTCCTTAGAAAGAGATATCTCTTCTACCTTACAGTAGAAAGCCAAAAGTTGTTTTAATGTTTTGAGACTAGTACTAAGGCTTCAACGTCTTACAAAGTTAAAAAACCAAAATATTAACTTAATAAATGATTGATGTCATTTTTGTAAATAAAAGTTTAATTAAGATATTGGAATTTAGATTTTTTACAACGTGGTTATTAGACCTAAGAAATTTATCATATTAGATAAATTTAACGAAAATCTTTAGCGTAAAAGTGAAAATATATTCATGTATGACATCAAATGTTCTAGTTTCATACGTCAAAAGGCTATAAAACATCGTAATATCACTTTTCAAACTTTTTATATTAGTGAATTCATTCAAAATTTCGGTGAGAGATTGAAAATTAATTAACTTTATATTTGCGCGAGACCGTCTTCATTGCTCAAATCTTTCTCTTTTTCGGATGAAGATTTCGATGATCAGTCATCTTTCTTTCATTTTATATTAATGCATGTTGATTAACTACTTTAGGTATGATTTTCGTTCATTTTAATCGATTGATTTTGTGTATAAGTACTCTTTGGAGCATAGGTGCATTCTCCTTTCTCACTCACTACCAACAATACTTTATTCGACGAACCCACCTTCAAGAAGATTAATTTTCGTTTTCGTTTTCATTTTCAAGAAGGTTGAACTTGTTGGTATCGATATTGTTGAACTTGCTTCTTGTATTGTTGAACTTATTTATTGTTCATACTATACATTGTACATCCAAGCTTAGGATAAAACTAAGAGTGTATTCAAAACAACTCTAAATGACTTGAAAATTTGTTCAAAACACCAAAATATCATGAGAAGCCCCACAAAAGAATTTAAGTTCAAAATTCAAAGTCTAAGTATGTGAAATATTTTTGCAAAGTTTGGAAAAAACAAAAAAAAATTGACAAAAAATAAAAAAGGACATTTTTTTAAAATCTAGAAAGACAGCCGGAACAAATGTTATGGTCATTTAAAAATTTATCGGAATTGATTTTTCAAATAATTTTTATACTTCACATAGACCTAAAGTAATTATTGGTGTTTTCTTTGAAATACAGGTTCTAAATAGTAGTAAAAAAAATCTAACAAAAATAAGAACTATAGTTATCAAAACCAAAAATCACATGTTAATACTATTATGTACTATAACATCACTAACTTGTGATAGTCTTTTTGAGTTCATAGTTTATATAGTATAAAATATAAAAAATTGGACTACATTTATTGATTTTTTTTACTTTTTAGACATGCATATAGAGTTGTAAAAATGAATCACTGTTAATTAAAGAAAAGCAAAATAATTGATCCAATATGACATTTTTTTTACGATAAAAGCCGAGAAAAACACTTGTATCAAGGTGAACTTTGAAAGCATGCTTAAAATCTGAATTGAAATATCATGTTATTATGGCGAAAGCCGAACTCATGTCTGACTCTGCAGCTGCATTTTCTTTGACACTTTCATTAACCCTTTGAGGTGGTGAGCATGAAATTTGATTAAGAAACGAAGTCACATTTTCCAACTGTGGATGAAATGAATATTAATTAGATTTCATTTTGTGGATTCAGGAAATATAGTAATAATGGGTAGGAAGAAAAATGAGTACTACTGGAGTCAAGTTGATAGAGAAGAAGATGGTGGGTTGAAGTGTAAGCACTGTGGATTCAAATTCAAAGGAGGAGTTTCAAGAATTAAAGCACATATTGATGGAGTAACAGGAAAAGGCATTAGTATATGTCGCACACCTCCGAAAGATATCACACCTGCAAACCATTCCCACCAACGTATCGATGTCCCATCATCACAAGGTACAACTATTTTTTTATTTCTCACTCACAATCCCACTCTGTATTGTGTATATCCTATTTAAAATGTTTTTTATAATTTTTGCCAAGATTATTAATGTTTTTACTTAATTAATTGAAGGACTTAACTTTAAGATGAAGTCTAAATCCTGCAGCAATGTAAAAATTCTCAAAGAGGAGAAAAATGTAAATAAAAAATAAATCTAAACATTACAACATATTAAAGCTGGGTCCTATAAAATTTTTAGTGTCTCATTATTTGTATTATACTTTTACACTTATATAACACTAATTTTCCTTTATGATATATTAAATATTTCATCCCATTCTTTTATCTGTTCAATATTAAAATTTTATTATTAAAAATTAAAATAGTTTTTTTTCTTATACAAAAGAGTTTAATATAATTTAGACTTTTCTAAAAGATAAACCTATAAAAGATCTTTTAAGAAAAAAAAAATGCACTCGACTTTATATATAGTTGAAGTTGGTGAAAGGTTGGAAAAATAACTTATATTGTTTGTGGTTCAATGATGATGAAAGAGTTATAGGATCATCATTAAAAGTATGCATCTTTATTACAGATCCATCATGTTGATTTCCTTCTCTTCACTCTTGTGTTTGTATTTTTTAAGGTCATATACAACATAGCTTGCTTTATATTTTTCAATCATCACTTAATTATATTAGTTGTGTTAGAGAGAGATATCTTGTGAAACTTACCTCAATACTAGATTTATTATA